ACTTCTTCCGTTTATTAAAGGAATACAAAAATGTTACCTATACCTGCAGATTATTGGTGTTAGGGACATCTTCACGTTTCTCATCCAAAAGCTTTGAAATAATCACTAGGCTGAGGCACTGTCTCAGTTGCCTGGAATTACAATTTTAGAATGTATTTTAATCAATACTGTTTGAGAAGCAGATGAATGAGCCAAAAGTTCTTCTAGTCCTGCTAATTGAAAATATAGCTAATCAAGAGAAGGCTATATAAGAACATATAAGCTTTAATAGAATAGTAAAAGTTTCATGTAAAATATTTGTACGTAAAGTTAGAGTTGCCTTATCAGAATCAGGCTGTGAATACATTTTCCCAGAGCTGAATATGAAATAAAAGACTCAGATCTAACACTTAAGGTATGATAAAAGGAAATAAAGGTCCCAAAAGCATTATGTTATTAATGTAAACATTATACATTTTAAAATATATTTTTATTGATTTCAGAGAGGAAGGGAGAGGGAGAGAGAGACACACATACACATCAATGATGAGAATCATTGATCGGCTGCCTCCTACACACCCTCAACTGGGGGGCAAGCCCGCAACCAAGGCAATTGCCCTGACTGGGAATGGAACCGTGATCTCTTGGTTCATAGATCGATGCTCAACTGCTGAGCCACATCAGCTAGATAACACTATACATTTTTAAATGTTTAATTCTCACTTTTCAATACCTTCCACGGGATGTCCAGTTAGGGACCAGCTGTACCAACCACAGAAGGTTGTGGGGATGACTGGAGAGTTCATTTATGGCCACACAGAGTTCAGGCACCTGAAAACAAAGAATGAGTAAGATTTTTCAAACAGGACAGTGGAATCAAATATCCAACAGATCATCTACAATGATCTTGCCATAATGGAAGCATTATAAAGAAAAGAGCACTCATTTTTAGAAACAGCATGGAGTCTAGTACCTGCTAAAATGTACATAGTACACAGATTCAATTTTATCTTAAACTCTAGAACAGACTGAACAGATACCTTTCTATATGTACTTAAATTTCCTTCTTGGAAGAATAAAATGATTTGAATACAAATATCAATTCCCAAAGGTATATAATGAGAGTTGTACAAGACTGTACATCTTCCTGGACCTGGGATTTCTTGCATTTTAAGGATCTTTCGCTATTCCAGTATTTAAAGTCTAACAGAATTGCTTCAAAATAATCCCTGAGTAGGGTAAAGAAATGTGGGGGGGAGGATAACAGATGAGACAAGATAATGTCTTGATAATAACGAAGCTGGGTGATAGGTAGGTAGGGGTTCGTTACACTTTCTTCTATTTTTACACTTCTTTGAAGTTTTCCACCAAAAAGCTTGAAAAACATAATTTTTAAAAGTCTAACAAAAATTATGCATGCTTAGCCTCAATATGGCTGCAGAAGTTCAACTTATATTTTTGTATGTTTAACTCACTCCATCATTCTTTTTGGTCTCTGCTCAAAGGTCACTCTAGAAAGGCATTCCTTGACTGCCTTGCTACTCTCTATACTCATGTTTTGCTTTATTTGTAGCCCTATTATAACTTGACATAATATTATAATCTACATTTACTTTTTATTTATTTAAAAAATATATATATTTTGATTTCAGAGAGGAAGGGAGAGGGATAGATAGAAACATCAATGATGAGAGAGAATCATTGATTGGCTGCTTCCTGCATGTGCCCTTGATTGGAATCCAGCCCACAACCCTTCAGTCCGCAGGCCGACGCTCTATCCACTGAGCCAAACCAGCTAGGGCAACTTTATTATATAACCCTCTGACTAGGGTAAAACTACCATGAGGTCAAGGGCTTTGTCTTTTTTCACAGATGTATCTCTAGCATCTACATTAATGCTTGGCCCACAGGATTCCCCAATAAAGACACTGAGGTGGGGGGAGGGGGAGATATGTGGAAAAAATAGTTTTAGAGATGATTCAGTTGTAATGAATTTAAATAATACAGTCCCAGCAAAGACAGTCCCTTCCTCAGTTTATTTTTCATCTGCCCAAGATCTTAACTGAGCTTAGAAACTATTCTGCATGCACTGTGAAAGTCAAGTTGTGATGTTACACCAGAAAACCAATACTAAACTTTTAAATAATATTACCTTTGTGTTCCAATCTCTGATGTTTTTCATCAGGTTTATCAAGAGACTTTGAAAGTCCACTAGAGGAATCTGCTTCAGCTGTTTTTCCAAACTCATTTTAAATAACATTAAAATCAGCAACATTATTTCGTGATCCTGGTAACCTTCTGGATGTATTGATGTACATAAGCCTAGAAACTTTGACACAAATGCAGAGACAAAGCTACTTGAGATAAATTTTACTTAAATAGTTTAAAATAAGAACTTTTAAATAAAAAATGCAAAAGAGAATTATGTAGAAAACAAAACATCAGTTGCCTAAGGAAAAAAAATACTCATGCTAGTAATTGAATTGGGTGATAGGATTAAGTATTTTCTTCCTTATTTTCTCATTTTCAAGATTTTCCTTTTTCTTTCTTTTTTTAAAAAATATATTTTTATTGATTTCAGAGAGGAAGGAAGAGGAAGCAAGAGATAACAATGACAGAGAATCATTGATCGGCTGCCTCCTGCACGCTCCCTACTGGAGATCAAGCCCGCAATCTGGGCATGTGCTCTTGACCAGGATCGAACCTGGGGCCCTTCAGTCCGCTGAGCCAAACCAGCTAGGGCTTAAGATTTTCTTAATGGTGTAATATCATTGATTTGATCCAGGGGTGGGCAAACTTTTTGACTCGAGGGCCACAATGGGTTCTTAAACTGGACCGGAGGGCCGGAACAAAAGCATGGATGGAGTGTTTGTGTGAACTAATATAAATTCAAAGTAAACATCATTACATAAAAGGGTACGATCTTTTTTTTTTTTTTTTAGTTTTATTCATTTCAAAAGGGCCGGATCCGGCCTGCGGGCCGTAGTTTGCCCACGGCTGATTTGATCCAACCACTAAAAATGTTTTAACACTTTCTTAGTCACTGAGTTACATTGTAATATTTTTTCTTCATACATCTGAATTTTAAAAAATTACTGGTTTTAAAGATATTAGTTTCAAAAAGCTTCTTAGTAAAGTATTCCTAGAACTATGTTAAATATATACTCTGATCTAAAGATCCCTTTCACTCCTAATATTAAAAATTAAAATAAAAAAGCAAAAATAATCTTTAAAAAAAGATTATTGCTAAGGAATTTCAGAGACTGGAAATCACCTGATAAAACACTACTGATTTTGTTTTAAAACTATTAACCACCAAAGTAAATGGTTCCAGCTTTGCGTTAAGACACACATAAGTGTTTTACTTACCTTAACCACATTTAAAATGTTGGTTTCAGGAAGAGTTGAAAAAATCGGCTTACAAGATGAATCTTCACTTCCTTTTCCCCCCAGTGTCATTTGTGTTTCAGAACTATCGAAAGTGAATAAAGCAAAACGAAATTAGGTACAATATAATTATAAGAAATATAACATCAAAAATGTATATTTTATTGAGGCATAATTACATACAATAAAAGAAATATGCTCATTTTAAATTTTTAAAAAATATATACTTTATTGATTTTTTACAGACAGGAAGGGAGAGGGATAGTTAGAAACATCGATCAGCTGCCTCCTGCACACTCCCTGCTGGGGACGTGCCCGCAACCAAGGTACATGCCCTTGACCGGAATCGAACCCGGGACCCTTTAGTCCACAGGCTGACGCTCTATGCACTGAGCCAAACCGGTCAGGGCCATTTTAAATTTTGATAAATGTATATACTAGTGTAACCACCATCTGAATCAAGAAATAGGACATTTCCATTACCCCTAAAAGTCCCTTCATGCCAGATGCAAGTCAATATACTTTCTCTCACTCCAGGTAAATACTAATTTGATCTCTATCTCGATGCATTAGTTTTTCCTTGAACAACTACTTATTATAAGGCACTATCCTCATTGCTTTTGGTGTCAGAGAGTTACATAGATGATGGCTCTGACTACAAAGAACTCTTAGTATTTAAAAGCCTCCATGACTTAAAGAAACTGCCACAGCATATAAAGAAACAACTGTAAGCCCCCAATTTTGGTTGAGGTAAGTGAAGAGGAGACACATGAACTTGGCATTGAAAAGATCTGACTGGGTGGCTCAGTTGGCTGGAGCATCATCCTGTACATCAAAAGGTTGTAGCTTTGATTCCTGGTCAGGGCACATGCCTAGGCTGAGGGTTCTATCCCTGGCAGGGCATGTACGGGAGGCAACTGATTGATGTTTTTCTCTTCCACTCTCTAAAATCAATAAAAAGCATACCCTTAGGTGATTTAAAAAAAATATTTTCTTGTTTAATCTGATTAAAAAGTCAAGAGATATATAGATACAGTGTGCTGTGAAGAATTATACTCCCAGTCTAGACTTTCAGCCACCCATTTCCCCTCCCCACAATCACTACTAATTTTAGTCCTTTTTTCCACAAGTGTTTTATGCATATACAAATAAATGAGTATTTCACTTCCTCACACCTTTAATATAAATGTTAGCATACTATACATACTTTGTGCACATCTCTTTTTTCACTTTATATTTATCATAGAGATACTTCCATATGTAAAGAACTTTTTATCTTTCAAAAATATATTTTATTGATTTTTTACCGAGAGGGAGAGGGATAGAGAGTTAGAAACATCGATGAGAGAGGAACATCGATCAGCTGCCTCCTGCACACTCCCCACTAGGAATGTGGCTGCAACCAAGGTACATGCCCATCTTGACCGGAATCGAACCCGGGACCCCTGAGTCCGCAGGCCGACGCTCTATCCGCTGAGCCAAACCGGTCAGGGCGCTTTTTATTTTTTAAATATCTGCTTGGTAGTCCTGTGTCCCTTCCTAGATATACACCTTGGGCAAGTTACTTTATATGTTTCTGTGCCTTACTTACCAGCAAAATGGGAATGAAAATACTAGTAGCTGTAGTGATTATTAAATGAAATGCTGCATATTAAGATCTTAGAACCATGCTTTGCACATACTAAGCAATATGTTTTAGTAGTTGTGATGATTATTATTAATGTACCATAATCTGTCCCCAATAAATGGACTGTCTTTTGCTATTTTAAATAGTGTTTCAATAAATAAGACAGGTAATATTTTGACAGAGAAACACTAAGGATGGAACTGAGGGGTCAGCATGAGGAAGAGCCAATGCAACAATGGCTAATTTAGAGAAAGAACAAGCAGATATTTTGGTTAGAACAAAGGGAGAGCAAAACAGAAAACAGGTAAAATATTATTACTGTGTTTTTGAATTTTAAAAAAAGTTTCTATTTTCCCTTGTTAAACATGATGGCTTTAGCTGAAGACAGAGGTTCATGTATTTAATTCAAGATCCATTTCAACTTTGAAATTTTTAAAAAAATCAAGAATGGATATTAAAGTTATTAAAAGAATGACTATTAACTATTCTTACAAAAATTGTTTAAAAGAATGTTTTTGGCATTAATTATGAAAAGAAAACTTACACTAGATTATCTTCATTAAAGTCTGGCTGAAGATTCTCCAGAGGAAACAAAAATCTAAAATCAATTCCCATATTGAAAAACACAGCTGCTATATCAGACAATGATGGGATCCAAGGCCAAACTGGTGAATCACTGAAGGTATCTAGTAGAAGAAAATATTTTATCTCAAATCCTGAGTTCACAAACTCACAGTTGCAAGGTGATAGTCTGCATGTGAAATATGGATTATTATAGTGATTTTATATAATGACAACTGGTAATGATATGTTAACAATATAGTTGTTTAGAATGATCATATAAAAACTACAAATTTTCAAATAAATATGAAAGAAATGATATTTATGAACAAAGTATCTGAGAGTGATGGATAAAAGCAACACATTTGAAAAGATGGAAATAACAATGGTAAAATACCACTACTATTAGCACAGGGTGATTTTACCATCACCAATGCCGATGTGTCACAATCCTCAAAACAAGTAAGACAGCTAGATCACAATGCTTGTTTCATTATAAGAGATCTCAAAGGTTTTGAAAAAGCAATTGTCACACTTTTGCAATAGACACTATCAACTGCCTCAGTGCACAATCAGTATAATACTGTTGCTCACCAAGAGCCAATTAAAGTTAATTGACTAAATAAATAAACTTGCAACTATTTCTACTTACCTAGCACAGTAAGCCATGACTTGGTAAATATTAGGTAAGGGCTGCCACTTGCAACATCTTACACAACTAGAAAAATGCAGACACTCATTTTTGATTGGAGTTTCATTTCATTTTTAGATTACAAAAATTTTTATTCTATATTCCCAAATATCCTACTAGTAATTTTCAGCAATACAAAAAAGACCAGGTACATATCAAACAATAATTCATACTGCTAATTACCATTATATACTCACCATTTCTAATTGTTATTTCCATCAATGTACTTAAAATCTGCACGGACACAATACAGTCTGTATGAACTGACATCATCTAAGTAGATGAATGATAAGAGTATTAAGGAGAAGAAAGAAAACATAAGCATTTACTATTTTCTAGCCACATATACAACAGGTGTTTTATGTGCATTTCATTTAATATTTATAAAAACCTTATGAAGTGGTCATACATCACACATAGGAACAAACAGGCTCGGAGAGATTAAAATACTCCACCCAACATAATACATGAGCAGCTGGAATTTAAATCCAGGTCTCATTCTGAAGTCAGGGCCTTTTCAATTCTCACATGGTATTTTTAAAAACTTCATTTATAGTAAGACAAATACAACATTTGAAACTATAAAATAATTTTCAAGTTCATATCATGCCACAAAACCCAAAAACCATAAAGGAAAAGGCTGACAGCTTGATCACTTCCCAGGCAAAATAATCAAACCAAGAACTAGTAAAAATACTTGAAAAGATACAAATATGCAAATTAACATACCAACGTACTTTTAAAAAGATGTTCAGTATCACCAATAATCAATGAAATACAAAGAAAAATAACAAAATGTCATTAGTTGACTTCAAGATCGGTGAAGACTGAAAATATTGATAATATTCAGTGTTCAGAAGTGTACTAGGAAAAAGGTAGTATGGCCAGTGTGAGTGTACTTTGGGAAAATTTAAAAAATAATTTAGTAATTTATGCAAAGTTATTGTCTTTGTACTTTTTTTTTTCAATCCTCACCAGAGGTTATGTTTATATTGATATCTTAGAGGGAAAGAGAGAAACATTGATGTGAGAAACATCAATTGGTTGCCTCCTATATGCACCTTGACCAGGGATTGAACCCATAACCTAGGTATGTGCTCTGACAAGGTATAGAACCTATATGGGACCATACTCTAACTAACTGAGCCACCCAGCCACAGCTGTCCTTGCACTTTGACCTAGTTGGCCTTTTCACATAGGAATTTATATGCGGAGTCATGTAATTAATAAAATTTTACAAGATAATTCTTTGGGAATAAAAGCACAAGTTTAAAACTCCTCCTTCCTCTCTGTCTCTAAAATTAATAAAAACATATTTAAAAAACAAAACAAAAACCCACGTGAATTTCCTCTGAAAACAGTAAAAAAATAAATAAATAGTAAACTCTTTTTCTGGTCTACTACATTTAGATCACAAAGATGTAAAACATTTTCACAATTAAATTTACAAAATATTAATTAGGACTATAGCATTAAAATGAATTCTGAGCCCGGACAGTATGGCTCAGTGGTTGGGTGTCCACCTATGAACCTGGAGGTTACAGTTCGATTCCCAGTCAGGGCACATGCCTGGATTGTGGGCTCGATCCCCCTGGGGGCTTGTGGGAGGCAGCTGATTGACAATTCTAATAATTGATGTTTCTATCTCTCTCTTAAATAACAATAATAATTTAAAAAAAGACATTTAAAATGAATTCTGACATTTATTTTTAAAAACTTGTAAATTGGTCTCTACATCATGAAAAATGAATTTGGAATTGGGAAGGAGAAGTGAGACCAGAAAAAGTGCTTAAAAAATAATTATTAGTTTGGTTTTCAAAGAATAAATACGAAGAATATAAAAAACTGCTTACACACAAAAAACAAACAAAAAAACTGCTTACACAAAGATATGCTTGGCCGAAACCGGTTTGGCTCAGTGGATAGAGCGTCGGCCTGCGGACTGAGGGGTCCCAGGTTTGATTCCGGTCAAGGGCATGTACCTGGGTTGCGGGCACATCTCCAGTGGGAGATGTGCAGGAGGTGGCTGATCGATGTTTCTCTCTCATCGATGTTTCTAACTATCTCTCTCCCTTCCTCTCTGTAAAAAATCAATAAAATATATTAAAAAAAAAAGATATGCTTGTATGCTATCATTAGGGTCTTAAAAAGGTCATAATAATGGGCACACATCAAAAAGATGAAAATTAACATACGCTAAATGCAAATTCTTACTTGTAAGTTTAAGAAAATATGTATTACATAATTAGACAATAGAGGACTGTCATGAGAGCAAATAAAATTCTGAATTGTAATAAATAGAAATATGTGGGTAGAGTAGATAGGTAAAAAGCTTGCTAGAAACTGCTGGTAAGAAAGACCTTATCTGAAGCATAAGTCCATTTATATAGGGAGGGGAAAATACTTTATGAGTGACACTGACAAGCTAAAGGTCTATCAGAATGATGATCAGTAAAGAGACTGGCAATTTAGTGACTGCAGAATGTTTAGTGTGGAGAGAGAGGACAGTCCTGACAGTTATTTAAAAATAACTCAAGGGCCCTGGCTGGGTAGCTCAGCTGATTGGAGTGTCGTCCCTATACACCAAGGTTGCCAGTTGGACTCCCAGTCAGGGCACATGCAAGAATCAAGCAATGATTGCATAAATAAGTGGAACAACTCATCAATGTCTCTCTCTCTCTCTCTCTCTCTCTCTCTCAAAATCAATAAATAAAAATAACCGAAGTACTGTAAAGACAGATGAAGCAAATTCTGGGAAGCTGTAGAAAAGATACTTAGTACCACTAGATAAAAACCATAGGAAGACATTTTTTCATTTAATTAGGACTGTTAAAAAATTACTGGGGTCTAAGTAGTCAGTTACTGGAAGCAAATGCTTCTGCCCCATAGTCTGCCCGACCTGTTATTCTCTTTGTCTAGAATGCTCTTCTCTCACATAGTGACAAGGCTCAGTTCACCACCTTTTTCAAGTCTTTACTCAGACCTCACCTTATCAGTAAGGCCTTACTGATACCATATATATAACATACATAGAAAAATCAAACTTTCTTTAGCCTATTTTTTCTTCATAGCACTTACCATTTGATATACCTACAAATGTGCACACACTCATTTATTGCCTGTCTCCTCTATACTAGAATGTGGATTTCATGAGATCAGAAACACCTTTTTCATTGTTATTCTCTCTTCACTACCTGGCAGAGCTGGCACTCAAAATTGCCAGCTTTATGAAAAAATGAATAAAAGCCTATACTGGAATATCTAGTTCTTGCCAAATATAAGGTTCTTTCAAATACTATCTTAAAGCCCAGGCTAGAAACTCCATGTTTGTCCCACTTCTCACTTCACATATCATAGTTCTCTGATACCACTAAATATTTATAAAGTTACCATATAGAGAATACAAAAATTAAGATAATTGAGGTAGATTTAAGAGTTAGACATGAGCCGAAACCGGTTTGGCTCAGTGGATAGAGCTTCAGCCTACGGATTGAAAGGTCCCAGGTTTGATTCGGGTCAAGGACATGTACCTGAGTTGCGGGCACATCCCCAGTAGGAGATGTGCAGGAGGCAGCTGATCGATGTTTCTCTCTCATCAATGTTTCTAACTATCTCTCTCCCTTCCTTTCTGTAAAAAATCAATAAAATATATTAAAAAAAAAGAGTTAGATATGAATGAGGAGAAACATTCTATTTGATTTACATTAAAAAGAAATGAATGGGGAAAGATTAGTGAAGTCAAATCCTAAAAATGTATGCAGTCACCTCCATAAAAATGGGGGCAAAAGTGTACCCCCAGGATGTAAGCATTAGAAGATCTTTCTGAAACTAACTAACAGTGATTTACCAATGTATGTCCCAGGTACAACATTATTGACTATCCTACACACTAGCTGCATTAGTATTTTCTTTATAATCTTTTTACATTTATTCTTTTGCCTCATTCTAATCCACTGAAATCATGGGTTTGATAAACTGTATTAGTTTTTTCTCTAGTAATGTTCAAATAAGATTATACTTTAAAAGCTTACTTTTGACTGGGAAATACAGTTGGAAGCAATACCCCTCACACATTTCTCTTACCCGAAACAGCCACTTTAACACAGGTACAGGACACTGGACATAGTGATAAGCAGAGGTAAGGAAGCCTTGCGTCGTCAAAAAAATCTGATCGGTTTTTCCTGATCTGAAAAAATAAAGCAAACTCAATATGACTGTTGACAAGAAACTTCTATCACCATACCTGACATAATCAGGAAAATGAGCAAGGACAACATCCTTAAGTCATTCTTGGGTGGGTTCCACTCCAATGGATGGATTACTTATAAAAGATATTCAATTGATGACCTAAAACTGATCCAATCTGTTGGCTTGGCTCTAGATTTATCTAATGGACAAATCTACATTAGCTGGCAGTGTTTATCAACAGGAAGAGCCTATCAAGTCTTAGGACATCGTCTGCTTTTGCCAGCTTGGGTTAGTACTTCCATAAAACTCAGCACCAGAATTAATGTTATCTCTCTGGATCTGAGATATCATGCACTGACAGAAATTAGCTCTGTGGTAATTCGAGAGAAAAGCATTGTGATAGAGAATGCTAATTGTTTATCCCAATATCTATCCTTGCCTTTCCTCTTTTCCAAACCCTGATTTTTAGCTGGGCACACTGGCTCCCTGAAATAAAAATTATTCCCAGCCTTCCCTGTAGGTAGGTATGGCCACATTGACTAAGTTCTTCCCAACTAACCATAAATAAAAATGTTGTGTGGGAATTCTGGAAATGTGAATGCAAAGGCCAGAGCTCCAAGAACACCTAAAGCAACCAATTACGAAGGATGGTGAAGAAGAAAGATTATATGGTGAAACACCAGCTCTGGACTTCCTATCTATGAATTCTTTCACATAAAAAAAAAAATTTCTTATTTAAGCTCCTGTTAATGTTTTAAAAAATATTACGTATGTCCTCTTTTTCTCCCCGTTGACTCCCTCCAGTCCTAACCCTGCCTCCAGCCCCAGGTCCTCACTGACCCCCTTGTCGGTGTCCATGAAGTCCCTGTTATTTTATTTTATAATACATTTTTATTGATTTTAGAGAGGAAAGGAGAGGGAGAGTGGGATAGAAACATTAATGATGAGAGAGAATTATTGATCGGCTGCCTCCTGCATGTCCCCCACTGGGGATCAAGCCCACAACCCAGGCATGTGCCCCTGAAAGGAATTGAACTCGGGACCTTTCAGTCTGCAGGCTGACACTCTATATACACTGAGCAAAACTAGCTAGGGCAAAGCCCCTGTTATTTTAATAGTCACTGTTATTATATACTGACTACAGGCCTGATGCACGAAATTTGTGCAAGGGCAGGCCTTTGCAGCCCCAGCAGCCTTGGCTGCCTCTCGGCCCTCACAGCCCCGTCCCCGCCCACTGGTCATTCTGGAAGGTTATTCCAGAAGGTAATTATGCCATCTGGTCTAATTAGCATATTAGCCCATGATTACCAGGCATACCAGTTAATAATGCAGATTTTTAAAAAATTAAAAAAAATATTTTATTAATTTTTTACAGAGAGGAAGGGAGAGGGAGAGGGACAGAGAGTTAGATACATCAATGAGAGAGAAACACCGATTCAGCTGCCTCCAGCACCCTACCCATTGGAGATGTGCCCACAACCAAGGTACATGCCCCTGACCAGAATCGCACCTGGACCCTTCAGTCCGCAGACTGATGCTCTATCCACTGTGC